TAATGTTGCGAGCGTGGTGTAGTTCAGCGCTGCAGGCGTGGTCTCCTCAGTGCTAATGTACAATGTTGATACTGTATGATGATTCAGTGACTGAAGAATTGAATTCTAGAAATTTAGAGGAAGTCAGTGAGACGAGTAGGAAGTTGGACGGAAGAAGACAGCCAGAATAGCTTCAGGTTTTACTGTGTTTGAGAGAAGATGTAAGACTTAAATAATGATGGCACAATCCTAAAAGTATGTGACAAACTGCCAGCTTAGATTTCACGATCAATTTGCTCCTGCTTAGAAATATTTTAATATAATATAGAGTTGATCTAATTTCATATAAATTTAATATAGGCATATTCCATGTCAAGTGTACCAGAGGTTTTACCTGACCATCGCCGATTTTATATGAAATTTCGAACATAATTCATAATTTTGTTCTTATTTCAATATGACTGCCAAAATTTCAGTTTAAAATATGAAAATTTTGAAATTATTCACTCTTAGCACAGGAAAATTTCAAATTTTACAAATCTCCTTACTACCTTTACAGACCTTTTTTAACAAACGTAACATTTTAAACACACAATATTTACAGATAATTCATTTTTATTCTTCATTGAAAATTATCCCAACTTGCTGTAGATGCGGAGCCTTTTTTCAACAAAGTTTGAACACCAAATTAAACAAGTTGCAGAACACATTTTCTGTTGAAACAGCATTTATTATAAAGAAAAAATTGCAACAGACAAATGAATACCTTGTTCATATACCCATGTGAATGTTCAGTGGTGAAAACCGTAAGATACGTAAATGAATTTACATGTCTTCACATATTTACGTATCGCTCGTCAATCGTTTGACTGGAACCATCGTTAGGGGCTCCTTCAATTATATATCTATGGGTTCTTCTAGTAAGGGAAGAAACCTTGGTTTGGAAAATGTTCAAATGTTCTAAACTTCATTCAGTCATCTTCGAGCTTTCGCACCATCATTATTGCAAATCTTAATTATTAATTAAATCTTAATTACGTAAATCTTAATTATTAATTCCTGGTCATGCTTCAAGACGAGTTATTAAACTTCAGGCGACTCAGCTGTGGGAGTTCCTCAAGTTCTAATACTTCTTCCAGTTCGCATATTTCTTGTCTATTGCTGCTTATTCCTTAATTTATTGAGCTCTATAATTATTTTACGGTAATCTTGACAAGTTACTGCATCAATTCCTTATTTACATGATCCCGCTGTTCACGCTGTTGAATTGAAATATTCATTTCAATTCAAAGTATTTGCTGTGGAACAAATTTCCTAAGCAGAGCCCTACGTTTGTTTCTCTATCTCTCCAATGTCAAATCTCGTTCTATCTTTTTCTATTTTCCGTCTACGTTAACTTTATTTTACTGATTTCTGCTAATATTTAAAATTTGCCACCTTTCAAAAAGCTGCCACTGAGACGCATTCAAATTTCAAGTTCGATCATATATTTGTGTTCAATTGATTTATATTTTTTACCCGGCAAATATTTTAGGAAGTTGAATGTTACGATTAGTGAACATCATTGCTTTTATCTCCATACATTGTCGGTGATACTGCAGGCAAACCCCACCACTTCTTAATTTGAGGGTCCTCTAATTTAAATATTTTTCTTATTTAGAACTGAAATTTTGGCAAAGTTGGTTTGAAATATGATCCAACTTATGTATGGAATTTCATCTAAATCGGTGATGGTTAGGTGGCGCTGACTCCAAAAAGTGGGACACTTGACACAGAATTACCCTATGATTTCATATAAATTTCAAATGCATTGATAGAAATGATACAAGTTAAGGTTATAATATAAGCTGTGTCAAACTTACTAAAGGAGCAATAAAATACGCTTATTTAATTGCTGCCATAAACGAAAATGACACGGCAAATAAGGAACAAAGTACCACGATCAAAGGAAGATTTTGAGAAATACCTAATGACAGATGAACGTGGTGATTCTGAAAATGATTATTTTATTGTTTCACAAAGCTTAAACTCAAGTTAAAGATATATGTATAAGGGTCGACCCTCCGGAAAACTTTTTTATTAACTGACCGAGCTTTCTGAAACTTCATACAATATTTATGTAAAATACGGGAAAAAGAGGGATTTGAAAAAATCTCCTCTTTTGATTAACGAGATTCAACATCGTGAGACGTGACTCTCTATCCGCTTATTTCTCGCGACTGCATGTACATAGATACCCTTTTTCCTAATTTCACTTTTTTATTTATTACTGATATTTTCATATTTCCTCCCTCCCTTCATTAATTAAACTATATAATTTCTGTCTCTTATACACATCTAGATGTGTATAAGAGACACAGCCTCAAGACGGGCGTGGCAGCGCCGGTGGCCGCCGATGCCGTGGCCGACGTGCTGTTCATGTCGGGGGCCTTCGAGTCGGGGCGGCAGTCCGACTGCATGGAGTTTCTGCTGTTCCTGCTCAACGCGCTCAGCAGGGAGGTGAGTCGGAGGGGCGGCATGAGCAGCAATTAGTGATGAGAAAAAATTTTATTTGTTGAAATTTGTTTCGCCATATAGAAAATACGTTCTTTTATTGCTTTCTTTTGATCTGGGGACTATATATGAACCACTTCTGTCACATATACTTTATGACTTATGTCACACTTATTATATTGTATATAACTTATAACATATTGTATTTATGAATCTTATTGGATATAATATTCATTTCATTATTACAATACAAAATAACTTTCCAAGAATCATCCCTTAATTCGATGTCGCAGTGACTTTATTAAATTATAAGATTGAAGGTGTCTATATAATATTGCTGAGATAATAACGAAAGAAAATTAGTTACAATCAAATATTGGCCAGTTTTACCGCTAGCCAAATCGAAAAAATATATATATTTAGTTTGAGTTGAACCACTGGATTTTTTGCCGCATCATCAGCGCTGTGGACATGTAAAGGATACGTTGAGCATATCATGATACCAGTTATGTTTATGCCTGCTGAACTTGCTAACAAATTGAACTTAGTAACGATGGGCACTAACTTGTAACGTCCTTAGCTTAAAATAATGTTTAACTAAATTAAATAATGGAATTAAATAATTTAAGAAATGTATTGCTGCAGATGGTCCAATCGGGAGCGCAGGACGAAATCCGCCATCGCATGGAGGGGCGGAGTGAAGTTTATCTCGGGGCAGCCGATGTCGGCATCAAGATGACGGCAGACAAATTCCTTTGTCTGACCCTGCCTCTTGATGGATGCTTTTCTGTTGGCGATGCTCTTGTTCGGAGCAGCCAGCCTCGCTTCATGAGCGATGGCAGCAGCGCTGAAACCAAGATTGTGGCCGCCCCATCTCTTTTATTGATCGCTTTGAATATTTATACCGTAACATCTTATGGCACGGTACAAAAGTTGTGGCAACACATAAGCGTTGAAGAGGAACTTATAATCCAAACTGGTGAGTGTTTATCGATAAATCAACAGCCAATCTAAGAACATTATTATGCCCAAGTTGCGCTGCTAACTGAAATTATATCAATCTTGATCAGGAAACTTCTGTTACAAACTCCAATTGTCGGGTATACAAGACGACCCAGCAAACTCCCTCTTTTTCCATGGTTCTTAAGTTTCTTATGCTATGTTCACGTTGCAACATTAATGTCTCGGGTCAACATGCATGGAAAAATATGCTCAAATGATCTGCAGTTGCACGCGCTGATGACATAATGATGAATATTGCGTACAGCCAAGTAATGATAATATAATGATGAATATTGCGTACAGCCAAGTAATGATAATATAATGATGAATATTGTGTACAGCAAAGTAATGATAATATAATGATGAATGTTTATCTCGTTGCAGAAGCGTNTTATTTGATAAAATTTAATTTTATTTAAATTGTGTGTCTCAAGCAATGTATTTTTATAATAAGTTCAATGTTTTCATCCCAAATAGACGGCTTCGACACAACTCCGCAGAGCTTGCCAACCTGTGGTCTGATGAATAGCAACAATTCATGCTACATGAACGCTGGTCTGCAGCTTATGGCCTCAGACCCGGTCTTGTGTAGAATAATAGAGAAGACCGTGCCTGCAGACCGGCTACACCAAGCACCTGCAACATACGCGTTGTAAGTAGCTAGATTATAGACCGCTGTTGTTCTCAGTTTGTTACTAAATCTATTTGTAGTAAACATCGCCACTTTACAATGAAATAATTCCAAGAGTTTGAACACTTGCGAACAGCAGACATGTGTTCACCAGAGATTGTTGAGAACAAATGTGTTCCCGTGCCGTTTGCTGACGAACTGCAATTGTTGCATCGACAGTCGGCAGTTCCTGAAGAAGAGGCGCGGTGGCCTCAAGACGGGCGTGGCAGCGCCGGTGGCCGCCGATGCCGTGGCCGACGTGCTGCCCCATAATTGAAAAGACGTTTTATTGCTTTTTTTGATCAGGGGACTGTGAACCCCTTCTATCACATACTATTTATATCTATCCTCACCTATAATATATTGTATTTATGAATCAGATTAGATATAATATTCATTTTATTATTACAATACGAAATGAGTTTCCTAGAATGTTCCCCTACATTTTATATCCCAATGACTTTTCTAGAATGAAAGGTTGCTGCGATATATATGATATTGTTGAGAATAATTGTGTAAAATCGAAGAAAATTATTTACCCTCAAAATTCTCACACAAAAGTAAAGTGTGATAGGGCATATTTGCCGGATTTACCGCTAGCAAAATCGATAAAATATATATTTAGTTTGAGTTGAACCACTGGATTTTTTGCCGCATAATCAGAGTTGTGAACATTTAAAGGATACGTTGAGATTATCATGATACCAGTTATATTTATGCATGCCAGCTGAACCTGATAACAAATTAAACTTAGTAGAGATGGGCTATAACTTTTAACGTCCATAGCTTAATATAATGATTAACTAAATTAAATAATGGAATTAAATAAGTTAAATAAATTCTGTTGCCGCAGATGATGCAATCGGGAGCGCAGGACGAAATCCGCCATCGTATGGAGGGGCGGAGTGAAGTTTATCTCGGGGCAGTCGATGGCGGCATCAAGATGACGGCAGACAAATTCCTTTGTCTGACCCTGCCTCTTGATGGATGCTTTTCTGTTGGCGATGCTCTTGTTCGGAGCAGCCAGCCTCGCTTCATGAGCGATGGCAGCAGCGCTGAAACCAAGATTGTGGCCGCCCCATCTCTATTATTGGTCGCTTTGAATATTTATACCGTAACATCTTATGGTACGGTACAAAAGTTGTGGCAACACATAAGCGTTGAAGAGGAACTTATAATCCAAACTGGTGAGTGTTTATCGATAGATCAACAGCCAATCTAAGAACACTATTATGCCAAGTTGCGCTGCTAACTGAAATTATATCAATCTTGATCAGGAAACTTCTGTTACAAACTCCAATTATCGAGTATACAAGACGACCCAGCAAACTCTCTCTTTTTCCGTGGTTCTCAAGTTTCTTATGCTATGTTTACGTTGTAACATTAATGTCTCGGGTCAACATGCATGGAAAAATATGCTCAAATGATCTGCAGTTGCACGCGCTGATGACATAATGATGAATATTGCGTACAGCCAAGTAATGATAATATAATGATGAATATTGCGTACAGCCAAGTAATGATAATATCTTAGTTAGCAGCCGTTGTGTGTGAACGAGTTGGCCAGTATTATATTAATTTAGGGTAATTATAGATGTTAAAGGTTTGGTTGCCTCGCCTTAGTGTCATTGAAAACAATAACAGCAGATATTCTCTGCACGATTTTATGTTCTCATAGTGAATAAATGCAAGTGAACGTTTCGGGCCTATTACTGCAGTAACATCTCATTTTTAAAATTGTCTAGCCTATTTCACTAGCCTTAAACATTTGCCTGTTTGTGTAGAGAGGACATTTGCCTTATGTTTTACAACGCATTTGTCGTGTAAAGTTTGTACATAATCGAAGCTCGCGTGGCTAGACGCAATTTTTAAGTTGAGGCGACGCGGTTGAATTTATTGTATATACTCTGATGTATATTTTGTATGCATTCTAGGTTAGCTCCCCGTAAAATATTTATGCGTTTGATGCTATTGTGATACTCGTGTATAAATGAATAGACTAAGAAAATATGTTTTTCGTCAATACAATTTTTGCTTCCTTCTCCAAGTAACCGTATTAATTGGTTACCCAATGAAAAATAATTTTCTGTAGTGACAGAAAACGAATAGAAAACTATAAGACTGAGGGCTCCCAATAACTTGTTTAAATGAAGAACTTCTGCCATCCTATCCTGACATCACAATATACTCGCGGAGAGGTGGCCGTTGTTATGAAATCGACGTAACAATTTCCAGGCTACATGGTGAAGATTTTGTTGTTATGGACCAATTTATGTTATGTTGTTATATATAAGAACGAACATTGTCTCTGTTGTAAACAAGTTTCAACCGTTTGCTAATATGACATTCGTGCTATACACAAAGCTTCATGAGGGCCTGTAATATCGCCCTGAAGAAATACAATAATATTTCACACTGCCGTATAATTCCCGAAAATAACTGACAAAATTATATAAGAGAAACAATGCTTATCAGAAAACATCTCGTGTTTTATAATCTCATATGAAACTCGTATATTGGAGGACACAAAGGCGCACAATTTATTACAGGTGAAAATTTATGGAAGGATATATATTAAAAAGTAATTATTTTTACATCAGAATAAAAATTGAATGACAAGTGTACTCCACCATAGTAGAAAAATTATGGTGCTCGGCGTTAACTCTTATTGAGGGCACTGGTCGTGTAATTTCCCATCAACTCGACTCAACTTGACCCGCAGTTTCTGGACCTTTAAAATGAGCATAAAAACTAGAAAAATCTGCAAATTTTCGATTCTTGACTGAAATGGTCACCTTAAAGTCAACTCGAAAGTTCTACCAAACCTAAAAATTTTTTCACTTTTAGGCAATAAAAAGTCCTATAATTTCACGAGTATCAGTTCAGGCATTTTTAGAATCGAAATAGTATTCATAACTTTTCAAATTTAACTTTTAAGTTCTGCCAAACCTAAAAAATTAATCACGTTAAAGCGATAAATTGAAAGTCTCCTAATTTTATGAGTTCCAGTTCAGCCGCTTCTAAAATGGAATTAGTATTAAAAACTTTTTGACTTCTACTCAAAAATTCTTCCAAATCCGGAAATTTACTTATTTTCAAGCGATAAAAGGACTGTGATAATTTCTCGAGTATCATGTGAGCCGTTTAAAAATATATTTATTATTCATAACTTTTTATACCCAAACTGAAAGTTCACTCAAATCTAGAAATTTTCTCACTTTAAAACGATAAAAAGTCTGTTATAATTTCACGAGTATCAGTTCAGCCGTTTCTAAAATGGAATAATTATTATTCGTAACTTTTCAAATTCAACTCGAAAATTCTCCCAAGCCTAGAAATTTATTCATTTGCAAGCGATGAATTGTCTGTAAAATAAATTAGTATCCATAACTTCTTGAATTCAACTCGAAAGCTCTCTAAAACCTAAAACTTTATTCCCTGTATAGTGATAAAAGGTCTTTGTTAATTTCACGAGTATCAGTTCAGCCGTTTAAAAAAAATTAGTAATCAGAACTTTTTAAATTCAACTCGAAAGTTCTGCCAAACCTAAAAATTTAATCACTTTATTAGAAATAAAAAGTCTGTGGTAATTTCGCGAGCATCAGTTCAGCAGTTTCTAAAATCGAATTAGTATTCCAAACCTTTTAAATTCAAGTCAAAAGTTTTCCTAAGCCTAGAAATTTAATCACTTCTAAGCGATAAAAATTTTGTTATAATTTCACTTGTATCATTAAAGCCGTTTGTAAAAATGAATTATAACTCACGAACTTTTAAATTTAATTCGGAAGTTCTCACGAATCTTGGAATTCATTCACTTTAAGGCGATGAAAAATCTGTCACAATTTAATTGTCGAGTTTCAGTTCGGCCGTTTCTAAAATAGAATTAGTTTTCATAATCTTTTTAAATTCAGTTCGAAAGTTTTACAAAACCTAGAAATTTTTTAATTTTAATGTGATAAAAACTGTGTAATAATTTCGCAACTATTAGTTCAGCCGTTTCTATAAAATCAAATTAGTATACTTAACCTCTTAAATTTAATTCGAAACTTCTGTCAAACCTAGAAATTTAATCACTTTAGAGCGATAAAAAGTTTGTTATAATTTCACGAGGTTCTTTTCAGCCTTTTCTAAAAATTAATTAGTATTCATAACTTTTAAATTCAACTCGAAAGTTTTCAGAGAGTTCAGATTTTGCTTCTGATTTTTATTTTCATTCGTACCATGACACTTTGTCCAAAATTTTATTTCTGTTAATTTTATTGATGTAAGGGATTTGCGGGTTAAATTTGATTTGTGATAAAAAAACCATTGGCAGGTAGAATTCGATGTTGCGCTATTAATATTATCCAGGCGAAACCTTTCAGAATTTTGATGAAAACTTTGTGTCGGAAGTTTTGTTTGTATTGTTTGTAATTTGTATACCAAGTAGAATGACTTGTATTAAGACTGGAATAAGTGGCGTTTATTTCAAATTTACACGGGCTTGACTGCAGAGAACTCAGTAAGAAGGCATAATCTGTTTAGATGCAATTAACAATCAAAATTAAATTGCGGAAAAATAGTGAGAGAAATAATAAAATTATTGACAGATAGACAGATATTGACAATAAATAAGAAAATTTGTTTACAGATAAAAATATTGACTTATTGCAAGGTTTTATCGCGAGGTTTTATATAATGGGTCGGCGGATAACAATGCGTGATTGGCTGACCATATCTCGCTGTAAGTGGTCCCACCGGGACAGCGTCCTCTACGGGCGCCTCGTCCAGCGCGGGTGCCTCGTCCTATACGGGCGCCTCGTCCTGCACGGGCGCCTTGTCCAGCGCGGGCGCCTCGTCCTGTACGGGCGCTTCGTATTGCGCGGGCGCTTCGTCTTGCGCGGGCATCTCGTCCAGCGCGGGCGCCTCGTCCAGCGCGGGCGCCTCGTCCAGCGCGGGCGCCTCGTCCGGCGCGGTCGCCTCGTCCTGTGCGGGCGCTTCGTATTGCGCGGGCGCTTCGTCTTGCGCGGGCATCTCGTCCAGCGCGGGTGCCTCGTCCAGCGCGGGTGCCTCGTCCAGCGCGGGCGCCTCGTCCAGCGCGGGCGCCTCGTCCTGTGCGGGCGCTTCGTCTTGCGCGGGCGCCTAGTCCAGCGCGGGCGCTTCGTCTTGCGCGGGTGCCTCGTCCAGCGCGGGCGCCTCGTCCAGCGCGGGCGCCTCGTCCTGTGCGGGCGCTTCGTCTTGCGCGGGCGCCTTAAATGAAACGAATTAGCAAACACAGAGATGGGCTTCAGAGTCTAGACATGTACCTAAGTCTATGTCTAGTGATGTTTTTGCAGTTGTGAATATTAGTGTACGATCCAAAAGCCAAGAGCCGCACTGTCCGCTATATTGTATCATTAAGTAGGGTCATATATACTCGTATCTATTGTGATAAGGAAACATGTTACCATTACTTAATTATTAATTTTATGGTAGTACAATATTGTAATTAAATGAAATATAATATTGTAGTGCTGCACGCTGGTGTAGTTGTGCTGCTCTATGGTGTAGTTGCGCCACTCGCTGGTGTAGTTGTGCTGCTCCCTGGTGTAGTTGTGCTACTCGCTGGTGTAGTTGTGCCCCTCGCTGGTGTAGTTGTGCTGCTCGCTGGTGTAGTTGTGCCACTCGCTGGTGTAGTTGTGCTGCTCGCTGGTGTAGTTGTGCTGCTCGCTGGTGTAGTTGTGCTACTCGCTGGTGTAGTTGTGCTTTGGCAATATGTTGTGTTGGGCGTCAGGATATTCCGCTAAATAATGAACTCGTGGCACAAAATATGGCAATATGTTGTGTTGGGCGTCAGGATATTCCGCTAAATAAAGAACTCGCGGCACAAAATATGGCAATATGTTGTGTTGGGCGTCAGGATATTCCGCTAAATAATGAACTCGCGGCACAAAATATGGCAATATGTTGTTTTGGGCGTCAGGATATTCCGCCGCTAAATAGTGGAATAAATTTGAATTAATTATGAATATTATTCGGCAGTGTGTCGTACTTTGCGACGTCATTTTTCAGGACGATGGTAAATAGAATCATGAGCGTTGAACATAGTTTATTTAAATATTTTGGAAAATATTTGCATGACATTTGACAAACATTTTAACCAGTAAAAAAGATTTGCGTTGTTAGAAGCCATTGTTCGGCCAAATGTCTTTTAATGAAACGTCAGGTAGTTTGGTTAGCTATCTTGTCGTACATTGCATTCTAGAATGCAGATAACCTACTCACAGCCTAGGTCCTAAAAAATATATTTATTTTATATGCGAATCTATTTTTCCAACGTCGTAAAATGACATTTTCTTATACATTACAATTTCTGATGATTCTAATTGGATGGAATTAAAATCGATTTTAATCATAATTAAGTCGTACTGAATGCTCACAAGAAAGACGACGTACTGCGAAGAAAATCGCACACATCATATAAAACGATTGGATTATTTGTTATAGATGTAATTCGTATTTTTTAAAAGGATTCCATACTGAAATTATTCTTCCATTTCCTTGGGTATATTATAGTCATAACTCTAGGGGTAATCAAAATACTATAAACTTGTATCCCAATCGCGCGAACGTTCAACGCTTCGGCCTCTAGTTCTTGGGAGTCTGTAGAAAGCTATTTAAATTCTTTATACGCTTAATTTTTCTTATTATTGCATGTTTGCACTCTGCACGAAAAAGGCAGGCACAATATATAGGAAACGTCTCGGACAACTTTACGGACTGACACGCGGCCGTTCTCGCAAATTCAGTAATAATCAATAAATATCTCCCAAAGTAATGAACATAGCTCGATGAATCTTGGTAAGCGTATTCTTTAACGCTAATGTTTAGCTCGTGATATTTTTTTAATTTCGTCTTCATTCGTGAATTATATGGCGATACGGGCCAAAATTTGCAGTGATCAAGGAATTTTTTCCAAATTACTGAACCAGATTTGAACGAAATTTTGAATATATATTCTTAACTACCAAACGGTGATGTTTACCTCGTAATTTTTTTTTTCGATTTTACCTTAGTTCGCGATTTTTTTTTCATTTCACCTTCATTCGTGATTTAAACAGCAATACGTGCTCAAATTTGTAGGGATCAATACATTTCTTCTAGACTACTGAACAGATTTGAACGAAAGTTTGTATATAAATACCTAACTTCCCAAAAGTAATGTTTAGCTCGTGACAATTTTTTTCATTTTGCCTTCGTTTGCGAGCTATACGGCTCTTGGTCAATGCAAATTTAAAAATTAAAAAATCGGCCTCAGAAATGCCTGTCGTTTCTCCGTATAACTTGCGAACGAAGGTGAAATAAAAAAAATTGTCACGAGCTAAACATCACCGTTCTGAAGTAAGGTATTCATGTATAAAGTTTCGTACAAATGTGTTCCGTAGTTTAGAAGAAATGACTTGATCACTGTGAATTAAGCACGAATTACTGTTTAAATCAGGAATGAAGGTGAAATGAAAAAACAGAACAGAGGCAAAATCGAGAATTTTCACGAGCAAGACATCACCCCTAGGTTCTTATGAACACGTGTACCAAGTTTCATTGCGCTGCGTTCATTAGTTTGGGAGATATTTCTTGATTACTGAATTTGGAGATTGGCCGTGAGACCGGCCGCGAGTCCGACCGAAAATATGTCCGAGACGTTTATAGGAACTTGATTGTTTGAACTGCAGAACTTCAGTAAACCCGGCCAATGCCTATTTATAATCTAGCAGTTTATTTTCGTTAGGAAAACTTTTTGCGCTTGCAAATAGCGGCTGATTAAAAAATTCCTAATTTATTTTAACTCCGATGCATTCTAGGAAAATATTTTGAATATTATTTCAAGCATTATGTACAGAATATTGTTCATATATAATTCATGTATGAAGATATAACGATATTTCAAGCATTTCTTTATTTTTAGAAATCAAGTTAGTACACTCATCGTTAGCGAAATCTAACAGTTGTCGATGAGTCACCAGCAGAGTGTGTTCAATAGATGAATGTCTTCAAAAAGCGAATG